AAGGTAGTTGACAGGGGATGTTTGGCGTACAACTCGATAAGGGCCATGATACCTGGACGAAAGCTTGTGGGAGAGTCCTAGAGAAGTAGAAGGAATCCATAACCACACCAGTGAGTTCGAAGCAAAGCTCATATGTGTGGTTGACGCGTCGTGGCGATGTTTTTGGCGCGTCTGGTCATGTGACGTGAACGCACGAGCAAGCTTCCGACATTCTTCAGCGTGTGCTGCTGCTCGAGAAACGGCAGTCAACTCTGAAGGGTCCGGTTGATAAGGAAGAATGGTATCCATTGTTGATGATGGCTCTCGTCCATAAAGAAGGAAGAAAGGCGAAAATCCAGTGGTGCTTTGCGTTGCAGTGTTGTAAGCATATGTCACAAAAGGGAGTATGCTATCCCAATTTGACTGGTCGGATGAAGCGTACTTGGCCAGCATATCCCCAAGTGTATGATTAAAACGCTCTGTCATCCCATTAGTTTGAGGGTGATAGGCTGTGGTAGTGTGGTGTATGATGCGACATTCGCTCAACAACGCTTTGATGGCATCGGAAAGAAAAACGCGGCCACGGACGCTTAGTAACTCCCGAGGTGCTCCATGCCTTAAAACCAGGTTTTGCAGTATAAAACACGCAACGTCTTTTGCGGTAGCAGAAGGTAACGCAGCTGCTTCAGCGTACCGCGTTAGGTGGTCGATAGCGACAATGGCCCAGCAGTTGCTACTCGAAGTATAGAGAAGCGGACCGTAAAGGTCGATTCCGACACGATCGAAAGCTCGTGCTGGACATGGCAGCGGCTGCAAGGGACCTGTGGCATGTTGAGCGGGCATTTTGCGTCGCTGGCATGTAAGGCAAGACCTTACGTAACGGCGAACGAAACGGTACATACCGCGCCAGTAGTACGGCAGCTGCAAGCGGGTGTATGTTTTTAACACACCAGCGTGGCCACATTGCGGATCATCGTGGAACGTGGCACAGATGTCAGAGTGAAGATGTCGGGGGATCACGAGCAACCACTTACGGCCGATCGAGCTGTAGTTTCGGCGGTAAAGCAGGTTATCCCGAATAGCGAAGTGTCCTGCTTGACGGCGAAGCGTCCTGGAAACTGGAGCGGGCGTCCGGTTTGAGAGAAAGTCCAAAAGAGAAGAAATCCAAGCATCTTTGCGTTGCTCGGAAGGCATGTCTGAAATGCTGATGGCCAAGGAAGCACTAGTGGAGATAGGTGAGCCGACAGGCTCTGAAGCCAATGGCCAACGTGACAGGGCATCGGCGTCGGAATGCTTCCGGCCAGAACGGTAGATAACACGGATATCGAACTCCTGTAACCGCAATGCCCAACGAGCGAGCCAACCATTAGGATCTTTTAGTGAAGATAACCAGCAAAGCGCATGGTGGTCTGTTACAATATCAAACGGACGTCCGTATAAATAAGGCCGAAATTTTCCGATTGCCCAAATAAGGGCGAGGCACTCCTTTTCAGTTACACTGTAGTTCTTCTCGGCTTTACTGAGGGTGCGGCTGGCATAGGCAACGACATACTCGTTAAAGCCCTCCTTGCGTTGGGCCAGTATGGCCCCTAGCCCGACACCACTAGCGTCCGTATGAAGCTCCGTTGGAGCAGACGGATCAAAATGTCGGAGTATGGGAGGCGTGATGAGGAGCCGTCGGAGTTTCTGAAATGCATTATCACACGCCTGCGACCACGCTGACAAATCAGAACTTCCGGTAAGAATATTGGTCAAGGGGGCGATAATGGAGGCGAAATTGCGGACGTAGCGCCGGAAGTAAGAACATAGACCGATGAAGCTTCGAAGCTCTTTGATGGTGTTTGGCTTTGGGAACGCCGCGACTGCATTAAGTTTTGTAGGGTCCGGGAGAATGCCGTCCTTGGAAACCGCATGGCCGAGAATTACAAGCTTGCGAGCGCCAAAGTGGCATTTCTTCAAGTTAAGTTGAAGTTTCGCCGTGGAAAGGCACGTAAGAACTTGCTCGAGGCGGCTGAGGTGGGTCGCAAAGTCGCTTGAAAATACCATAATGTCATCCAAATAACAGAGGCACGTTTTTCATTTCAGACCTCGCAAGACGGTATCCATCATCCTTTCGAAAGTGGCAGGCGCATTGCAGAGGCCAAAGGGCATAACGGTGAATTCATTTAGTCCATCCGGTGTTACAAAGGCTGTCTTCGGGCGGTCACCCTCTGCCATGGGGACATGCCAGTAGCCGGAGCGTAAATCTAACGAAGAAAAGAACTCTGCTCCTTGTAGGCAGTCCAAAGCATCATCCATGCGCGGCAGAGGGTATACGTCTTTGCGCGTTATCTTGTTGAGTCGGCGGTAGTCAACGCAGAACCGAATGGATCCGTCTTTTTTCTTGACGAGAACAACCGTTGAAGTCCAGGGACTGTTGGAGGGCTCGATGATGCCACGTTTCAACATGTCGTCCACTTGTTCGTCGATGACACGGCGTTCAGCATATGACACACGGTACGGACGCTGCCTTAGCGGGGCTTGTTGACCGGTGTCAATACGATGAACGACCGCAGAGGTTCGGCTTAAGCCTGACTGGTCACGATCGAATGAAGAACGAAAGCGGAAAAGAAGATTTAAAATCTCTTCGCGCTGAGTTGGTGCGAGCTCAGAGTCGATGGCATCCGAAAATACGTCCAGAGCATCATTAGGCGCGTTGGTAGGAGTAACAGCACAAGTTGGTAGCGAAACCGTAGAATCGGGTATAGTAGCCGGAAGAATGCACTCGTAAGGTTCGTAGCTTCCCAGGCATTCTCCACGTAGTAGGGATGACGGGCTGTCCGAGGGATTGCACACATAAATGGCAGCGTGACCATTGCGAAAAATGACGACGGCAAACGGAAGCATGATATTTTGACGGCACGCAGATGGGACCGATGGCATAAACAACACAGGCGATTTCGGAGGGGAGGCACACGACACCGAGACAACAGCTGAGAAAGGCGCAATGTCAACGTCAGAAGCAGCAAACACTCTACACGAAGCACCATCGCAGGGGTCATAGCACGGCACAGATAACACGAGTTCAGAACGAGCACAGTCGACCAAAACAGAATTTGACGAAAGAAAGTCCCACCCAAGGATAACGTCATGCGAAGAACGGAATAAAACTACAAATATGACGACGTACATCGCACCTTGAATGACGACTCGAGCAGTGCACAAAGCTTAAGGCTGAATATGATGGGACGTAGCTGTCTGCAAAGATAGGTCGGTGAGTTGTGTGGTCACTTTCTTCAAGTTTCGGCACAGTTTCTCGCTAATTACAGATACGGCAGCTCCAGTGTCAACAAGTCCGTGCACCTTAATGTTATCAATATAGAGTTAGATTTCGTTCGGGGGAGAGCAGTTAGGTCTGGAAATTTTCGCTGCCAACGCAGTTCTTGCCTCCGGAACTGCGCCCGTCTGTTTTCCCCTCGCGGTGGGCTGTTGCGACGTAACATCGGAGAAATAGATCGACGACGAGGAGAAGGTGAACGGCTTGCGCCGGATGGTCGGCGACCGGGACGTACGTCTAGAGGTGGATCGGCAAGAACGGGATATCGCGGCTGAGTGGGCATGGTGGGCATGTAATGTGAGGCCCCTGCATTGTCGTGAGAAGGGAAGCTGCGACGACGGCAGTGACGAGCTACGTGGCCTGGGATGCCACATGGAAAACATATCGGCCGATTATCCGGAGTGCGCCATTGGCTGACGATAGGGGCACTGTTCGCTGAATAAGGTACCGTAAATGGTCGTGCAGGCGGCGTCGTCATATAAACGTTCTGACCTGTTTCATATACAGCCGGAGACAGGACGGTCAGCTAGCGGGAAGGTGGCGTCGACGAATAAACGTGGCGAGTAGCTTCGTAGATGGCCGGAGACGCTGGCACACGTGGCCGAGCAACTGCGGCTGCATACGTTAGTGGTGCGGTAACAGTTGGTGGAGCCTGAGCTGGCGGCAATGCTTCGGCAACTTGCGATTGAATGACCTGGCGAAGCGAAGGCGACAAGGGTGCCATCGCCTCGATAGTTCTTGTGATTATAGATAGCTGCCGGGCGACCTCCTCGCGTATGAATTGATTTATGACTGGCATCAACGCAGAGTGGTCGGCGCTGTCATGGTGATAGTCGAGGGATGAGATGTCCGCGGTGTCTTGAGCAGCGCAACGGGTAGAAGCGTGCAGCCTACGCAGCTCATCATAGCTTTGGCAGAGCTGAATCACCTCGGCGACCGTCTGGGGACTCTTCGCAGCCAGCATTTGGAATGCACCGTCGTCGATTCCTTTCATGATGTTCTTGATCTTGCCTGCCTCGTCCAGAGTCGAATCGACGAGCTTGCAGAGAAATAGCACATCTTCGATGCAGCTCGTGAAAGTTTCATCTGCTCTCTGTACTCTGCCCCGCAAGCGCTGTTCAGCACGAAGGCGGTGGACAGCAGGACGGCCAAAGACTTCCGCGAGGGTTTTCGCCAATACCGACCAGGTACTGAAATCACTTTGATGATTTCTGTACCATAGTTTTTCCACGTCGGTCAGGTAAAAACTCACATTTGTGAGCTTGTCGGCTCCGTTCCACTTATTGACGGCGCTCACCAGTTCATACTCGGCAATCCAGTTGTCCACATCTTGGTCCTCTGTGCCACCAAATATGGGGGGGTCGCGCTGCCGGAGAGCGCCAGCGCAGAAGACAGGCACAGGTGCGAGATCTGGAGTAGCAGCATGAGATGGCCCCGGATCAGTCATTGTAGGAGGTCGTTGGAGTGTGGGGCTGCGAAGTTCCAGGGTGAGGACCAGATGTACCCAGCACTTCCACCACTTGAAACGGGTTGTTGAACAAGCAGGAGTTGACTCGGCGAAGGAGAGCTTTATTTAGCGCAAGGGCTAACTGAACGCAAGCCTGCGATCACAACAAGTCTTCTTCCTTTTCTATACTCGAGCTCCATGCCCACTGCCCTCATTACATAATCGACAATTTTACCATATGTAACATACGTCCACAATATGAGCCTTGTCGGCCAGACTTGCCCGTTCTTGATGCGAACTCACCGTGGGGCTTTGAAACATGACCGGTGAGTGGCCGATGACCCCTCCAAGCCTTACGCTATCACACAAAAGGAAGAGTTTGAGCTCCCCGAAAATTTTCAAATTTGCATGTGAGCACATGCGTAGATGCACGCGAAAACAAAGAATAAAGGTGAATGATCTTCTCCCCCCCTCCCCGCAACTCAACCGAAAACATTTCCGGCAACGCCCACGTAGCTCACCTCTTCGTGATGTGCTCCAGACTGCGTTGGCGATCTCTTGTGAACCTTGGAGGGAGAGCTGTGGCCTCCGTTGTGCTTCTGCGACCTCTTCATTCCTTTTCTGCGTGAAGCAAAAACCAAGAATTAACGTTTTCGCTCGAGGTAGAAACACCGCCCAAAGCGCGCTGGGGGCCTTTCTTCTTCTTTTTCTTCCTTTTCTCCTTGGAGTGCTAGTTGTGGAAATACAGGTCAGTGGCTAGGAAAATAAGAGATATTTGTGAGACCATTTCAAAACAAATATGATTATCGTAATTGTCGGCCTGATGCCAATGTACACTGATGAAGAAAACAAATGGCACACAATTGCGCACAATTTCTCGATTAACAGGCAGCCCAGTTACTTAGTTTCATCGTTAATTTTTTTAAATTTAAGACCCAAATTCCACATAGTGTTACGAATCAATGTGTTTGTGTACACATTATCTGGAAGTGATATAGAACCGGAAGGAGGTGTCACTGTGGGTCAAGAAAAGTCATTGAGTGGTTGTGTGTTTCACCCACACGCACAACCACTTAATGATGATGATGATTATTGGAATAATGGCACCTACCCATTTAGAAAGACGGCCAGGAGTGTGGTGGATCATACATACTGGAACAAGATCGAAAGTTGGGTAAGTGGGTTTGAAGACATTCTTGCTTATATTTTGGCGCTCACACAGTGGACGATGTTTTCGCAGCCTTCTTCACGAAATTGCCATCACGTCATACAGGTGAGCGAGGTTTTTTTTTTTAACGCGAAGCATTTCTACGTGAACTTCTGCGAATTTCACCTATCTATCTATCTATCCATATATCTATCTATCTATCTATCTATCTATCTATCTATCTATTTATCTATCTATAAATGCCGACAGTCGAGTCTCCATATGTCATGCTGTTCTATCGTGTTACGCGTGCGTGCATACGTGTGTAGGCAATTGAAATCGCCACTGTTTCTTTCTTAGTCAGCTAAAGAGCAACGGTGTGACGCATTTGTTGCTGCAGAAGCACACGCAATTTGTGAAAGAAGCGTTACACCGCGTAAAATTATCGCTGTTCCGTCGCAGCTTTAGCCGCGCTGTATCATTTATGGTGGCGGAACAGACGGTTGCCGTACTTTCCCCGTTCCAGAGATTTTGGATGGATGGATGGATGGATGGATGGATGGATGGATGGATGGATGGATGGATGGATGGATGGATGGATGGATGGACGGACGGCAGCGGCGAGTGGAGGTGGAGCGCGCGCTCGACGGCTTGAAGAGAGCGTTCACCCAGGCATCGTAAAAAATAAAGATTGAGGGGGCACTGGACTCTCTTAGTGTCTCGACTCTAAGCAGTTGGAGCCGTTCCCCTGCCGCGCCCCGTGTTACCAAACGGACCTATAGGCACGTCGGTCTTATGAGATGCCTCAAGCTTTCAGTAAAAATTTTTCGCTTTTCACACCCAACATTACACGAATATATTTGTCCGATTTGCGGCGTACCTGACAGGTCGGCCCACGTGATACTCGAATGCCCATGCAATACACATGCAAACCTATCGTCTACGCCGAATACCTGTGACGCTGGTAAAAAAAAACAACGAACACTGTCTCCAAACGTGAGAGGCCAAGCTCAGCTCGGACAACCTGGACCATCGACGACGTGTCGTCGCTAGGGCCAAGGAGGTGTGATGGCCAGGTGGTTCCTGGAATGAGGAGACGTCCACCAAGAGCAGAAGCGGAATATGCCCCGCTATATCGTTTCGAACAATAAACGTTTATTCTTTCTCCTCCTTCTTTTACACCTTTGCAGAGAATCGGGTCCCTGAATTCGTGCTGTGATGAACAGAATGAGGTCGCTCGGCGTATAAACGTGTTTTGTGACACACCGACGGTAACATCGTGAGCAAACCATGTCTTCGCCTTCTCATACACAAGAAATCTCGTGGCAGCGTGCAGTTTATTTCGAACAGCCGCAGCTGCTGGCCGTCAGAACGACAGCTGCGCCGTCGCCGCAGCTATGCGCGCAAGTGCGCACCGCACGCCGGAGATCACGGAGTGCTCTCCGCAATAGCTCGTTTTCAGCTTCAGTTTCGTCGGAAGCAAGTTTTCCTTGTGTCGAGATGGTGTTGTTCGCACTGCGGGTATGGGATTTGCGTAACTTCAGCTTCAACAGGTAAGTCAGAGCGCTTCTGAGACAGCATAAAGCTTTAGAAATTAAACCCGTCCGGCTGTGGGTCCGCTCAATCAAGGTCCCCCAGCCCTAAAATTATAAGATAGTTTTATTCATTCCTGCCTTGATTCATGCTGCTGTGTTGAAACACAACTCATAAATATTCTTTTGTCACTTTCATATCCGCAAGGGAACACAGCTGCAACCAGTCAACAGCAGCCGTGCACTCAAGGAAAGGGAGAGCAGCCCTGTCTTCCAAATTATCAAAAAAGGACACCAAGGGCGCCAAACATATTCAATCCATCGATCAATGTACCAGATCATGAACATGCAGGGTTTCGATAAGTGTGATTGGCGTGGACTCTTGATGAGTTTTAAAAACGATGCAGTACTTCCCACGAGAACAGGATACAAAAGCAGGCACTTGTGAGGAGCCCTTCGTTGCTTAATTTGCATGTCTTCATTCAGCTAAATATGCAAAAAATGAGTGCGCAATTCGTTGTAGAAAACAGCACACTTATTTGCAATTTGAACAGGATTACTATCCCTCAAGATCAAGGCGTATAACAACTACTACCTATGAAGCATGAACCTGGGGATTGCAAAAGGGCCTCAACTTTAGTTGAGGACGATGCTAGCGAGCAAAGGAAAAGAAAACGATAGGTGTAACCCTAAGGGACAAGAAGAGAGCAGAGTGTATCAGGGAACAAACGGGTGTGGGAGACTTCATAGTCGAAATAAAGAAGAAAAATGGTCATGGGAAGGGCACATGGCGCGAAGGAAAGATAACCGCTGGTTCTTAAGGATCACAGGCTGAATTCTAAGACAAGGCAAGCGGGTGACGGGGAGGCAGAAAGTTAGGTGGCAGATCAGATTAGAAAGTTTGCGGTATAAAGTGGCAGCAGCGAGTGCAGGTTGATGATGATGATGATAATGACGACGACGACGACAACGACGACGACGTATGCCCTTGTGACATTTTTCATTTTTATGACTAGGTGAGTGGTTAACGAGTCAAAAATGTAATTATGACTTATTAACTAAGCCTCATTCAAGAAAAATTGTGGCTACTCCAATCTAATGAAAAATATGCGCTATGTTTGCTTCGCGTAATGACAACCCTTCTTTTCTTTAATCATGCTGCATACAAATTGAGACACCCTGTATATACCCTCAGCGTTAAAGAGGTAGGACAAAACTAGGAAAACGCACACGGACCAACACTGCAGAGCCTCGTGCGTCGTTCTGGTGCACACAATTATTGTGGGTTTCTGGCCTAAATGTCTTTCTCTGCCCTGTATTAACTCTAGAAGACTCAATGAGATCAGCAATGCGGGTGGATTTGTTTTAGCTTGTGGTGAAGATGGGCAAAGAGAAAGTGAAGTCGAAAAAATACAAGCAAGGAAGAACTGAGGAAGCAAATAAATGAAGAACACGAGCGACGTCGACCAATTGGGTTTATCGGCCAAAAAGCATACGTATATACTAATGAGGTAACCTGTATATGTGACACATTGCGTCGGGTAAATATATGTACGCCACATTTGCCGGAGTATGAATAGACCAAAAGAAAATGAAGTTTAGGGAACATTACTTACATGTTTAAACTGTATTGTACAGTAATCATGACTAAAAATTCAGATGATTTGAATGGTTGAATAGTCGACTTGCTGCAGGTAGAAACCGAGACTAAAACCATCATATAATGTGCAATGTTTGACATTCGGGCTCTGTCATACATTCACACGTATCTGTTTTGTGACCAATGAATCTACTTGACAGCCAGCGCGCGTGCTGGTAATTTTTTGTTTGTTTGTTTGTTTGCTCAGTTCTCGTCACATTCCTGCTCTTCGGCAGTGTGAGCCGCTCACCTTCACAACGAGTTCCAGAAGACGTTCTATGAGATCACATTTAACGCGATAGCGTTAAAGAGCTGGTTTCGAAGATATTCTGGTGGCGGCGGCATTGGTTGTGAGCGAAATATCATCCTTTTATGTGTGACCAAAAAGTTGAAAACTATGCAAATAAAATAAATGAAATAAAATCCTGTGGCACAGTTGGAATCGCACGCGGGTTCGTTGGGTCCGAGTGGGAATAGAACCTGGGTCGTTGGCGTGGCAAGCAGATATTCTACCACATGGCCGCGCGCCTGCTTGGGAACTTAGTGAAACTAACTTCGTCTGCTTAAAAATGCATTCAATGTAACTTTCATGCTTTAATACCATATGCGTCTTGCATACATCCTTCACAATACAACTAGAAGTATTGCAGCAATAATGCGTGTTACAAGCGCCCATTGACCAGCGGGTGTCAGAACATGTCATTATAACAATGACTTCATGGCTTAAAGCCGGTCACCCACTACAAAAGGCACACACGCTAATGCGCCTATTCTTTTAAGGCCACGTAGTGGGCGCATAGCAAGTTCAGAAATGTTTCATGCACTAATGGTTTGAAGTACGCACAGGGAACAGGACATCGCTATCGCTTAAGCTTTAGGGTTCTCTCACTTTTTTTTCATCTATGCGTGAATGTGGATGCTAAACTTGTTTCGTTGCATGACTGCTTGTACGATGGATGTCTTTCAAATGTGCAGACGTTCTTCAGGATTGCTGCCATGACGGTAATGGTGTGGGTGATGCTTCTGCTCGCGCAGGCGGCTGTGGCCATTGTGTGCCCACCACACGTCTGCGAAAGCACCAAGTGCCCGCGGCCGCCTGTAAAGACCTGTCACGGACGGCTGAGCACCCAAGGGAGTTTCTGCGGGTGTTGCAAAGTTTGCATGCACGAATCAGGTGAACACTTTTTTTTCTGGCAGGATCCGAGGACACTAGGAAAGAGAGGATTATGCTTGTGACGCATTCATTAAAAATCGAAAGAGACATGTCACTTCTCTTTTAAATATCTAAACGCCGAATTGGAGGGCTTAATTTTTGTAATTTTCAGAATGCTTTGTAAATGCTAATGGTGTGGGTGTGCACTGATAATGGACTAATGGTGTGCACTGATAATAAGTTTCTGCAACAAGTCATGTTAATACAGAAGCTGCCGTGAGGAGCAATATCTACATTCTATATTTAACTTGCAGCCAGTACACCTTTCTATTTAAAAATAATATATAGCCGATTAGAGAGTGGCAATATAAGGTTGATAAATGTCTTTGGTAAGATCTACAAATAACAATGTGATGTTAACGAAATATAAATGTTGTAGTGCCTAACAAAAAAATTTTTCACTGCTACGCACTGGTAGCCTGTTGAAACACCGAAACTGGTGGCCTTGCCCCGCTACTTCAACTCATCCTCACCCTCTCTATGAAACCCCCCTGCTAAGCTAAAGTTTAAAAGGCTTTGCTATGCCCTGCCCTCTCTCCTCCTCTTAAACATCACTTCCCTTTCCCAACTCTTTTATATACTATACTAGATATCACTGCACTATATGCTTTCCCTTTTTTTGTTACTTACTCTCTTTTTTGCCTCTCATTCTTGCTATCCTTCTCTCTATATATCTTTGTCCCGTTCTCTCGTCCATAGCAATGTAATCACGTGGTTCCCATCAATGCTTGTTCTGCTACTATGCCTTGATGGCCGGGTGGTTATACAGACTGGCCGATTTAAAGCGGGATTCGAATCACGCCTCTGCAAGAAGTTTCATTTCGTTTCACCAATTTCTTCTCCTCCTCTCTACTTCTCGCCAGCACTGTTGCTCTTTTCTTTCCTCCTTTTCACTTTACCAAGCAGATCATTCGTTTGACTTCCTTCCGTCATACCGGCTCTTTGCAGACAATGTCCAAGGTTCACTCTCTCCCATCCCAGGAACCAACCACCCTCTCCGCCACCATCGTCCTCTACCATCTATCTTCCTCTCTCTGTCTCCTCCAAATGCATTCCGTTTCTGTGGCACCTGTTGTGCACTTTAGTTAGACTTGCCCTATTCTTTATGGCACATACCCACCCGAGCTTCTGCGCATGAGTTCCATTGTACAGCGGCCTAAACAGTTTCTTTGTTATGAAAAAGCGTCATTGCGCTAAAAACAAACATGTATTATTTCGCCTTCCTTGGAAACATTAGGCTTCATTTTTATTCTCGAGAAGAGATATCGTTTGCGCGACAACCATTTTTTTTTCGGACAAGAAACTGATTATGACAATCGTTTGTTTCTATACGTTTTTTTGCTTGTTTTTTTGTCGTTTTTCTACGTACAGTAATGGTAGTGTTTTATTGTACTAGTAATGGTAATTTAGGTGCTTGATTTTTGAAAAGCTGAAGCAGAAATGATAAAGAAATTATCATTTCTTACACATGGCTTAGTTGATGTTATAGCAGACAGAGGAAATTGAAGTTTTGATGTACAATAAAAATATCGAAATAACGACAACTTATTCAACCAAAAGTATTGCGGCCCAATGACGAAACAGAATTACTTGCTTTCGTCAAGTGCGTCACAGCACAAGCTTTTGCTGCCATGTCGAGAACGAGATGATCGACGCAGTAATACTTTCTTATACATGACATGCCGTACGTTATATTTTTCTTCCTTGATCATTTTGTTTTTGAAGTGTGAACATCACATGATTTGGTTTTACGTATAATGCTGTGTTAAGTTACATCTCTATCCTCCTATTGTCTCGAAACAGTGTCAGTAAGTGAACAAGTAAATATATGCATAAATAAATTAGGTCCCCTCATATGGTCAACTCTCAATACCACATAATATGCATTCTTCTAAATTACGTCACTCCCATGGCGTGATAAAGGCAAGGTATTTCTCAGATATTTTATAGTTGTAGACCTAGTAGGAAATTATTCAAACTTTGGCACCGCCAGAAACACGGGAATTGGTGATATCTAAAAAAATGCTTGAAGTCGCTTCATACACCCGGTGAATGTTCATTACCTCCTTCTCAGCTCTCTGAAGCTTGGTCTCATGGATGATTAAGATCTCTATAATAAGGAAGATGTAATATTTATTGCTGACATTCACGATTAAGCTACATTCATCATCATTAGAGGTAATGCTTAGTGAGTTATTTGTTTAAAAATGAAATTCGCTCTTCGTTATTGAGAGAAAGAAATTTTCCAAAGCCATCTTCTACGAAAAAGTTTATTGTGAAGATGTTATTGAAATCGCTGCTTGCTTTTCACTTCAGGGTTCGGAGAACCATGCACGTATTCGCCCCTTCTCGGTGTGCCCTCGGCGTCTCAGTGCACGAGGGGTCTCATCTGCGATCCTCGTGCGAGCGTGTGCATCCCAGCGCTGTGGTACATTGCCCATCACCTCGATGGCCGTAACATAAAGACCACTTCTCGCAGGTTGAGTTAATAAATGCTCGAGTTCAGAAATGCCCCAAGCCTACTAAAGTATTTTACTTTTTTCGCTCGTGTCTTGCGTTTTTCCTGGAGAAAAAGAGAAATGGAACTCTTATTTTGGTATTTGGCAGTTTGCTGCGGTGTGGAGACCTTGCCTAAATGGCGACCAGGAGCCATGACACTTGAACGTAAACTTCAGCCTCTTCACTCTTTAAAAAAAAGAGTGACTGACTCTTTTTTATGGAGTTCTGGCTCTTCACGGAAATGGCTCTCTTTGACAGGCACGACAACTCTCTTTGGGGGCCATCATACTCTCTCCCGAGAGCATTGTGACCGAGAAGAGAGTTAACATGACGTGGCAAGTCAGACTACCCGGAAAGAGTTACACATAGTCTTTTTTTTTTCTTTGAGTGTTGCACGACTGTGAGTTGGTGCCATGGGGCCCTGCTGCGTATAGCATGCTCTCGCACTGTCTGCCATGCTAAACTTTTGGCCCTATCAGGCATCGGTATTCAGAGCCGAAAATTGTGATTTAGGTCCACCATTTTTCGGCAAAATTTAGTTTCCCAGATATTTTTCTGGGTCATAGTGGTTCTACAACATCTGTGTTGGACATCATCTGCTGCCATCTCTGTCCCCTTGGTACACTCGCCTATGCTAGGGTGTCTCGATGTGAGCGCCTATGGCCTATGCCAGAGTGCCTCAATGCACTCGTTTGCCTCCGCTCTGTTTAGAGTGGAGACAAGTGCGTCGTTTCCTACAGCGGTTGCCTTACTGGGCGACCTCCTCAGTGCGACGAAGACGACTGCTAAGCACTCGAGCTCGTGACGGTGCAGTTCTTCTCTGCTCTTTTCAGTGTCCGACTGGCATATCATACGACGTGCTGACGACTGTTGCAGAGTTGGACCAGCACAGCACCAACACCTAGCCAACTAGCATCAGTATGAAGTTCAGTCAAAGCGCCAGGATCTAAATGCTTCCGGATGGGTCCTAAAGTAATGAAAACTTTAGTTGTTGAAATGCAGCCTCACATTTATCATCCCACAAGTAAGGTGTGTCTTTATAAAGAAGGCACGTCAGTGGGTAGGCAAGTTGTGCGAAGTTCTTAATAAATCGGCGGAAATATGAACACAGACCCAGAAAACCTCGCAGGTGCTTTAATTTTCGAGGTTGCTCAAAGTTGCGAACAACTGCGGTCTTCTGTGGGTCTGGTCGTACGCCTTCTTTATCCACGAGAAAGCCTAATACGAGGGCTTGACGTTCTCCAAAATAGCACTTCTTTCAGTTTAAAACAAGGCCAGATTCGCGTAAGCATTCAAACACAAGTGACAAGCGGTGGTTATGCTCTTGAAAAGTCTTTTCGTGGACAATCACATCATCGAAATAGCACATGCAAACTTACCATTTTAGTCCACGCTGTACTGCATCCATAAATCTCTCGAATCTCGCTGGAGCATTGCACAAACCAAAAGGCATAACGTTAAACTCAAGCAGACCGTCTGGTGTTACGAAGGCCGTCTCTTTATCTGAGGGATGCATAGGAATTTGCCAATAGCCAGAACGCAAGTCAACAGAAGAAAAATAGGAGGCAGAACGCAGGCAGTCAGTGGCGTCGTCTATGCGTGGCAAAGGATAGACGTCTTTTTTGTGATGGCATTTACGCGACGATAGTCTACGCAGAATCTCCATGAATTATCCTTCTTTCTGACTAGAATGACAGAAGCTGCCCATGGACTACAGATTCTTGTATGACGCCCTTCTTTAGCATGTCTTCAACTTGCTCAGCGATGACTTTCTTTTTGGAAGGCGATACGCGAGAGGGCTTCTGGCGCATTGGTGGTGCTTGGCCTGTATAGCGGCGGTTTTGCGTACGTGAACACGGTGGCGTAACGGTAGACATCTCGTCTTGGGCAAAGTAAAAGATTGAGGTGTAGCCTGCGGTAACCTCCTGCAGCAGAGACCGTTCAGTTGAAGGAAGTGACTTGTTGATCATACGGTCAATTCTGGCAGAATAGTCGGGATACGAATCGGCGTGGGGTTTCTTTACATCCACCGACAGTTGAATAGACCCTGTGGTAAGAGTACTTTGCTCTTGAAAGCTTGCCCATTTAGGTCCTGCAGGCAGAGATTTGGGCTGCGTGGAAACGTTCATAGTCCACAAATCGGCACAACCATCGACGGTGACCACGAGGCACAACAACAATTATCTTAAGTGCGTTACTGAAGTTCGCCTCGGCTAAACCGTAGTAAAAACCCGCACAAGAACGTGAAGAGCTTACACGCACAAACAATGTGGTATTCAGGGCCAACCAGATGTCCTGAGACACGAAAAACACGTCCGTGCTGTCATCAACGGTATCACCCGTCAATGGAGAGGGCAACACGGTACGAAAAAATAATCCCACCACTACCACAATACAGGGTGGCACCACATTCGCGCAAAAAATCTATACCTATAATGACGTCGTGGGTCGCACGTGCAAGCACCATTCATCATCATCATCAGCCTGACTACGTCTACTGCAGGACAAAGGCCTCTCCCATGTTCCGCCAGTTAACCCGGTCCTGTGCTTGCTGCTGCCAATTTCCACCCGCAAGCTTCTTAATCTCATCTGCCCACCTAACCTTCTGTCTCCCCCTAACCCGCTTCCCTTCTCTGGGATTCCAGTTTGTTACCCTTAATGACCAGCGTTTATCCTGTCTACGCGCCACATGCCCGGCCCATGTACATTACCTCTTCTTGATTTCAACAATGATATCCTTAACCCCGTCCGTTCCCTAATCCACTCTGCTCTCTTCTTGTCTCTTAAGGTTACACCTACCATTTTTCTTTCTATTGCTCGCTGCGTCGTCCTCAATTTAAGCTAAACCCTCTTTGTAAGTCTCCAGGTTTCTGCTCCGTAGCTAAGTACCGGCAAGATACAGCTGTTATTTACCTTCCTCTTCAGGAATAGTGGCAATCTACCTGTCATAATATGAGAGTGCTTGCCGATTGTACTCCACCCCATTCTTATTCTTCTAGTTACTTCAATCTCGTGGTTGGGCTCTGCGGTTATTACCTGCCCTAAGTAGACATAGTCTTTTACAAGCACCGTTAGTTCAGCTCTAAACGTTTGATTTCCTACAGAAAGTAAAACAGAACAAACACCAACCAGGCTCAACATTTCTCTCCATACGACGCGGAAAGTAGCACTCCGATTCGAAGCAAACATTACATTCGTCCCAAGGCGAGTTTTAGAAGACATGCTCATTATGAAAACGGCATCACCGGTATCAACTAATGCAACAGTACTTGCATTGTCTACATAAACACTCACTTTGTGCTCAATCATTACAATACAAAAGGGTCCTGCGGAAGATGATTTTGTGGCCTCGCCCCCATCGGTCGCACCAGTTAGTTTCCCAGTGGTGGTAGCGTCCCCGAGCGGCGACGCGGGGACGGGAATTGATGTTGGCGTGCGGGTGGTGAGGTAACGCTGCAGTCGGAGCAAGGCGAGTCAGCACGTGCTGCGTGTTTCCGTTGGAAAGAGCCCTGAAATGGTCGATACTCGCCAGCAGGCACATAGGGCGTGTACACGTTGAATCGTGGAGCTCGCTGTTGGCGACGGTAGCAGTACCTAGCGAAGTGTCCAGGTAGCCCACAGTTGTAGCAAGTATGGGTGTCGCACCTAGTCGTCCTCGGCGAAGTACACCTTGTCGGTTGATAAAAGCCGGGCGATGGCGGCTGATTAGTAAATCACCGTGATGCAGCTTGCCTGCGTTCCTGGTTTTTTAGTGGCCGATCACTCCTTCGTTCGAATCGATCGGTGTAATTCGGTCGAGGCTCAAAGTAGCACTGACGCAACCGAGGTACCGGTGGTTCACGGGGCCGTTGGTCGAATGCACACTGATGGCAGACGCCGGTGGTGTCCACAGCTTGCAGTTGAGCAAGTTCTTCTTTAACCACTCGCCTTATAATCAAAGAGATGTCGTCCTGTGATAGAAGGTTGACGCTTCGAATTGTGGGCACATTGTCAAGACGTCCGAATTTCGGTAGGATACTCCTCCTTTTTAGCGCTTCAAGTGCTACGCTGTGTTTCGTTAGCTCGGAAGGTGTGTGTAGGTTTTGCTTAGTGATAAGAAAATTGTACACGTCTGCCGTGATTCACTTGAGTAGATGACCTACCTTATCTTCGTCAGACATGGTCACACTCTCGATTCCACAAAGCTTCAAGGCGACCTCGATGTAGGTGGTGCATGTTTCACCAGGTAACTGAGCTCTGCGTGAAAGCGTTCGCTCCACCAGCTTGGCCTTAGCAGTCGAGTCGCCAAAACACCTCTTCAGCCCGTCCACAAAAATGTCCCATGTGGTCAATGCACTCTCGTGGTTTTCGAACCAAAGAGACATAGTGCCGACGAGAAAAATACCGCGTTCTCGAGCTGCTTAGCAGTGCTCCAGCGGTTGCTGCGACTCACTCTTCGGTAGTGCTCGAGCCAATGCTCAACATCGTCATCCGGCTGTCCCGAAAAGGTCCTTGGTCGACGTTCCGGCGTGCCGCAGCCAGCTTGTCCTGGCGGGTGAGCATGTTGCTCATCGTCGCAAAATCGGTAGAGCTGGGTCGTCCAGGTCGATGTACCCGGCACCTTCCACCAAGCTGTTACGAGTGATTGTGTTTATTTACAGATGAGGTGAAATGGTGTTGGGAAAGAGCAGCGTACTTCTGAGACAGGTATAGTCCGGTTCACCCAACCACACAATCCAAGCGCCGCTCCACTATTCTTCTTCCGCGCCCGTTACGCTAGTGCCTCTTCGTTGCAATATCATGGACCTAAAGACCTCGTCATCAGCAGCACTCACATCGTGGATATGCAAACACTTTATAGAGCAGCTAATTTCGCGCTGAAATTATGACCGTGTACAGTACACACGAAAGCGTTCGTTAAGGCAGGTATTTCTGGGAAAATATTTCTTCCAATAACAAAAAAACCTATTTGTTGTAGTTCCCCAGGAAAACGCAACTCGGATTGAATAGTTGCAGTAGACGCGACCAT